CCTAGGGCTAGCTTTCAACTAGGGAAGCTGATGGAAAAAGAGCATTGTGTGTAGCCAGCGTTTCTTTTGTGGCAGTGGCTGCCTGGGGAAAGCTCAGCCCCCAGAGCTGCAAGGATGGCTTTGGAGGGGAGGGCTGCAAGTACCACTTGGCAGTCCCTGGGAGAAGAGGAGTCCCTAGGAGACATTCAGCCTCACTAGCAAGGGGTGGAGAGACTAGTGCTATGAAAGGCAAATGTAATGGTCCAGCACAGGCTGGGAAGTCCCCAGCAGAAATCACAGTGGAAATACGCTGCACTGATGGTATCCCTGTCTGATTGTCTCCACTCCTTTCCCTTTCTTCCTTCCCGTTGCCTGCCCATGGTACACACTGGGAGCAGCTCTGCTGCTGTGCTCCCTTGCCCTGTGAGCTGCTCTCTGAGGCAGTGTGGGATGCTCCCTGAGCTCTGAGATGGAAACCTCAGGCAGGCATCTTGCCTTTAGCAAAGGACTGACTGTGAGGAAGGATGGATGCAAAAGATTATGTAAGGAAAGGGAACATAAAAAATATTTCCTTCAGAAAAAGAGAAGCAATTGTAGTGTGTAGCGAGGCAGCTTTTGGGCAGGAATAATTGCACTGGTTTTGCTCATGAGTTATTGAACCAACAGTTGGGTGCTGTTTTCCTGCAGATTCTGTAGTTGTACTGTAGGGCCAAAACAAATGTTCCTTGATTGTTAAAAGCAAAAGCAAATCCTCCCTGCACATCCCTGGTTGCCCTGGGAGTCTCTGGGCTGGTTTCTGCTGGTAGAGATGGGGTTTTCTGAGAGCAAGGTACAGCCATGGCTCAAGTCCTGGCTCTGGCTCGAGGGGCTGTTCTCTGTGAACAGGATTTCTGCTCACTGTTGCTCAACACCTTGACAGAGAATCCAGTTTAACTGGAGCAAGACAGCTTGGGAACAGCACAACTATTGCCCTGTAGATTTGCTTGCTGCATTATCCTGAAATGACAAGCTCAGCAGATAGGAACTAACAAATTCTGTAACCCTCAGCATGTGATGGAGCTCTTATCTACACCAGCAGAATACTTGGGTTGTTTTTGTTGTACCCCAAAAAGAGATGGTTCCACTGATTTTCAGTGAAGCCCTACCCTGGGGCCCAGACTGTCCCTCTGGCTGTGCTCTGCTCCAGCCCTGGGAGCAGAGCCGGTGCTGCCAGGGAAGATGTGCTGGAGCTGTTCAGGCAGGGGCTGCTGACAGCAGCCAGAGCTGCAGGAGCCACATGGGCAGAAGGAGCAACTCTTCTCTGCTGGGGTCCTGCTGTCCCATGAGAGCTGCTGGAGCTCTGCTCTCTGCTGGGAAGGATGGGAGGGATTTTGGCTTTGCTCATGTCCTCCTCATTCCAGGAGCACCCCCCGTCCTACTTCAGCAGCAGCCAGCAGCTGGTGGCACCGCAGCGTGGAGCCTCACGGCTGGAGAGCACTGCTGAGAACCCTGGCATGCAGGTGATGTGGGAATGACAGCAAAGGGGCCCATGGGCTTGGAGAGACACTCTGGTTATGGAGTTTGCCTGGGGCAAAAGGTGGTGGCAGCATCTTCTGGTGCTATCGTACAGCTTTGGGAAGTGCTGCCAGTATGTAAAAACCCCGGGGGTAGGCAGCATGTGGAGGGAAGGAATATTGCAGAGGATGCCACAGTGCCTTGAGGTGTTTGTGCATGAAATGCCAGTGGTAGATCCTGGGGGCTTGGGGTCCTGCAGCGCAGGGCATGGCAAAACTGCCCCCTGGGAGCCTGGATATCCTCTCTGGGTGTTCAGAGGAGCCTACAACTACCCACAGCTTTGAACCCTGAATTAACCCAAGGTTGCACCAGGACATAAACTTCTAATGATGAGAGCCACCATCACACTGACCCTTTTCTGGGGATGGACCTTTCTAGGGAGACGAGCTCTTCTGTGTTGGACCCCCCAGCACATACCAGCTCCCGTCCTGGGAGCAGCCCCGCCTGCCCAGCTACGAGAGCGTGCGGAAGAAAGATCGCCAGAGGGAAATCCATCAGATGATTGCTGACAGGTTTGGGCTGTGGGCAGAGTCATCCCAGGAGGTGAGCTCCCCTCCCTGCAGTGGGGGGCAGGCAGAAGCCCATGGCAGTCACCACTGTGGTTCATATCTGTGTCCTCAGCTATCAGTTGGTGGTAGCTGAGGACTCTGTGCTCTGTGATTGCCTCCCTGATAGCTTTTATCTCTGGGAAAGCACAAAGTGTATCAGGAAGATTCTTTGGTGTACATCTGTGCTGGTTAATGATCCATCTCCCCTCCCCCAGAGCATTTGCAGCAATGCCTGTACCAGGAGGCAGGGCAGAGCCCCACAGAGAAAGGGACGGCTCTTCAGATCACCTGCTCCATACAAGTCCAGGCTGGGAGTGTTATTTTTGGATCTCTAAGGCTTTCATGGGTTCTTGCTTCCATCTCCCTGCAGGACACTCCTGGGGAGACCCCTGGTATTACGCTGAAATGTTTATGGCTTATTTATGAGCAGGAGGCTTTGCTTGTTATGATATTTAAGATTTGCACTCCCACAATGTAAAAGGGAAAAGTGAGAGCATCCTGCCAAGTAAGTCCTGTAGCAGCATCCTGAGATGCTCCCGATGAGAGACCGTTGTCTAAAGCAGGACAAAAACTTTCGAAACGCTGAGGAAAGCATTAAAAGTTCACTGATTTACCTGAATTTTGAGCTCTTAAAGCTGTACCATAATGCCTGGCATAGTTAGCCCTTGCCACTCAGTGTTTGGAGCCATATCTAATGACACCTGCCTGAAAAGTTCCAGCTTGATATAGTGGAAGGTGTCCGTGCCCATGCAGGGGTTGGACCTGATGATCTTTAAGGTCCCTTGCAACCCAAACCATTCTGTATTTCTATGAAACCTGGGCACTGAGGGCACAGGAGAGTAAAGCTCCAAAGACAAGTAGTTGAGGAACAGCATTGGAAGCTCTTCCACAAGATCATCATGCCACTTTCTGCCACCTGTGGGGAGAAAGCTAGCCCAGCTCTGCCAAAAAAAATGTGACAAGCCTAGAGGTTCCTCTCCCTGTGTAGTGAGACTTGCTGCCAAAACCTGGGTACAACACCTGGTTTGTAGGTACTTGTGTAAATCCCAGTAGTTTTTCTTTAGTCAAGAGAAAACAAATGACAGCCCTCTCCCAGCAAAAGTCACTTTTGTTCCAGCCTTCTGCCAAGCCCTTGAAGGGGAACAGGGAAGAGCAGGAACCTGGCACAGAGTGTGAGGGGAGAATGTGTCTCTCAGTCTCTCAGCAGGCTTGTGCCATGTTCCAGACTGATGCTCTCATCTCCAGGTGTTCCCCAGCCTACAGCTTGCTGCGCTGGGGGACTGTGGGGGTTTAGTTTCAGTCTAGTGGCAGTTGTGAGCCTTCTAATCTGCTCTGTAAGAAGAGGTGGGATAATCTCCTGGTTATTTCTGATCCTCTATAATGCTCTTCCTCTCTCCTCAATAGATGCCACCTCCTTATGAGCATGCTCTGAGGCATCCTCCAGCTTTCTCAGGAACAGGAATAAGCTCAGAGACCTTGGACAGACTCAGTGTTCCCCACCCTTTCCATGCCCCCCTCAGCTACCAAACTCAGCGAAACACTGTGGTGTAAGGCCGTGGCCTCAGTGTACTGCTGCTTCCCGTGCTGTCAGCAACACAAGTGCCTGGGATACCGTTTTCCTCCACAGTGAATGGCCAAACCTTCACCCAGATCCACAATCAGCTGAAACACAGGCAAGACCAACCCAGCCATCAGTGACATCCCTCTCACAGCACAAGAAGAACCACAGAGCCACTGCTGGGTACTGCACTGAGCAGAGGAACCAGGGACATCTGCTCACTCTGGCAAACACCAAAGGCAAAGGTCTAGCTGCTGGAGCTGCACTGGGCAAAGCCAAGGAGAAGATCTGCTGTGCCCGAGCTCCTCAGGAGCAGCATTTCAGATCTCTGAGAGGCAGCACTACTGGCTGTACAAACCATCAGACCTCAGGCACTGGTGGTATTTGCTGCTTCACCTGTTTCTTAGGTTGTCAAGTGTTTTACTGTATCTGTATTGCCTGCCAGGTGGAGATCCTCACCTGTGAGTGACAGAAGGGATGTGCTTTGGAGCACTGCTGTGTGCCCTGGCACCAACAGCCTCTGTGACTGACAGCGGTTCTGTACAGAGCCCACAGATGGATCTGGAGAGGCTCCATGGGTTATACCCAAATATGGACCACCAAGATGAACCACAGGACTGGATTTGCAGGCTGGGAAAGGACAGATGCATGGACTGAACAGCTGGAGGTCTACATGAAGACTGTGAAACACAGGTGGACATGTGTGGCTGACCCAGTTCACTTGGTCTTCTGCAGAGCAGAAGAATTGTTTATATAATGTCAACACCAGTGTCCTTACACTACTAATTTTGATAACCTGTTTTCTACTGCAGAGTCAATGCTTCAAATTGTTTACAAACCTGTAGATAAAATGAGATCAGTTTGGGCACAACATGTTGGGGCTCCTTTATTTTGAGCAATACAAGCTCAAAAATGTCACATAATGACTCACATAATGTGATAATGCTTTATCACACACCTCCAGCTGCTGAGGCTTCAAATAGTAGCCCAGATTTGGGCATCTTGCCAGGCCCCCTGAACTCAGTAATGAGTTAGAGTTATGCTGTGAATTTGCCTCGCATGGCCAGTGAATGGAACACTCAGATATTTAAGTTAATCATTGAGGTGAGTGAGCTAGAGGGAAAAATCAAGCTTCTGGGTACACATAGGTGCATGTGGAAAAGGATCTGTTCTGCAGTATTGTGAATTAAGGTACAAATAGAACAGTAATTACTAAAAATGAGCAAAACCAGAGGGAATTATTAGCAGGACAAGTACTGACACAAGAGTGATTGTAGAGGGAATTCATCCAATGGCACAACAGACGAGGCTCTCCAGATACTACACGACCATGGTAACACATTCCATGAGTAGCCAAGACCTTCAGTTGCCCCACAGCATTTATTAAACACTCTTAAAAATGCCAGCAGGTGATCTCAGTGCCTGAACACAGATCACAAGCACTTCAGGAACAAAACCAAGTCCTGAAACGGTATCTTCAGAGCCAGCCTTGTCCTCAGATGCCAGTATAGCTGTAGTGGTCTGTCCTTTCCATCTGTGCCCACATGACACAGCAGGTTCACAGCATGGTGACGAGTCTGAAGCTTCCTACCTCTGTGGTAGGGACAACACTGATAAAAGTTTTATAAAGGACCGCTCCTTTGGGCAGCTGGCAGATCACATCCCTGCTCTCGCTGCTGCGGGGTGGGGGCACGTAGACCTCTTTGGTGTATCTCACAATCCCATCCTCCAGGGCATAGAGTGTCTTGTTTCGACCCATCCCCACCTGGGAGAGGATGAGGAACATTAGAAAGGAGAGGCTGGAAATCCACAACTAAAGCAGATCTGATCATTGGTCTGCCTTGTATGATATCCTGGCTTCAACAGCATCTGTTGCTTTATTTTTAAAATAAAACCACACAACTTGCTTCCAGCAACCAGTTTACAATGGTACTCAGTATGAGACACCATGCCACCTTGAAGCACAAGTGCCCAGTCAGGTCACAGAAGTGTTTTGGGGTATTAATTAAATGCAGACCTTCCGTGAGTGCCATCAGCACAGGTGAGGCTCTGTGACTAATAGCACAGAACACATGGATGAGCATTAAGAATGAGACTGAAAGAGAGGAGGCAGTGAGTGTGGGACTCTGGGGGGGGACTGCTGTTCTGTAAGAACCAAAGAGAGAGAAAAGGCCTTACGTGAGCGCCGGGATGCCAGCGGATCAACCGCTGCGTGGCCAAAATGTTTCCTGCGTGGACAAATGCACCTGCAACAGAGTGACACAGTCAGACTGCAGACAAAGAGCTTCCAGAGCCCTGGCACAACATAAATTATTCCAGGACTTAAAAATCCCAGCCTTCTGTAGGCATTTTCTAAGGAAAAATTACTTCAAATGTAAAGGATCTGAACAAAAATGCTGTTAGCAGGAAATAAAAGGACAATGGATAGACCATGGCAAAAAGTCAAATTTCTGCAAAGACTGCTTCTAGGGTACAAGGCATTTGTTTAATTACATTTACATTGATATTTTTCCATCAGAAAAGCTAGTAATTATTAAGCACTCAACTGCAAGAATCTGCACTTTGACTTCTGCTAAGCTTTCTAATTCTCCTTTGCAAACAATGGAAATGCTCGGGTTTTCCACCCAGTGTGGGGGGAAAGTGCAGCGCAGTTATGAGGTGTCCCACAGTGTTCCCTCCTCCTGGGCCCTCCGGAGAGACAAAGTTAGAACCAAAGTACATTTTCTGTGGGCAATTTTGGCTGGCAGCCGGCGGGCTGATGGTGGGGGGAAGCTGAGTCAGCCTGCCCTCCCACCAACAACCCTCGATCGTGAGGTTTCAATGATCCTCCTCTTCTTTCTCCCGGAAAAGCGCCCTGCCCACTGCCTGCTGAGACACTCAACAACTGACACACGTCAGGGCAGAGAAGCTGCCAAGAGCCCAATGAAATGCAAATACGATACTCAGACCTACCTTCGACTTTTTTGAACCCATAGCGTTTCCCCGGGCTGCGGCCTCCTAGGTTTTTAGAGCTGCCCCCACTTTTCTTAGAAGCCCATCTGACAGCAACCAGGCTTGTATGAGGAGTGGTTAGAACTAGGTTAGGAGAAAGAACAACACCATCAGGTAAAAAAAACTATCATACATAATTCCTTCTGTCAGATTTAAAGGCTATCAGTTAAGACAGGCTTTAAAATTAAAGGCAAAGGAAAGAAACAAAAAGATAAATTAGACCAAAATGGCCTAAAATCCTTGAAAAAAGGTCACATCTCAAGTGCTGCTGCTGCCCAGGTAAGAATAAAACTCTCAGCAACTATGTTAAATGATGTGCACAAATTCCTCTTTCATTCTTGTAAAATGGAGCACAGATGTCACTGGTTGCTGTGAATTGCTCTTACAGTGCTTTGATAAAAGATGGTTTGTGAGTTCAGTTCCCCCTTTGACCAAATGGCATTTACTTACACAGTTACATCCTCAAATCTTACAAATGAGCAGATTACAATTCTGGAAAATATATAAACATCTATGACCAGCCAGAAACAATCTGACGAGTATCCAGAAGGAGCATAAAGGTTGGACTTGCTGATATTGGAGGTCTTTTCCAACTTTAATGATTCTGTAATTCTATGATTAAAGGCTCTAAGAAGGAATACAGAGCCTTGGGAGTGGCAAAAAGGGAGTCTGGAGCACAGTTTTTTCGATCAATCATCCCAGTTTAAGGGAAGTGTTTAAAGCCAGGTTAAATCTGGGCTTGGAACAACCTGGTCTAGTGAAAGGTGTCCCTTCCCATGGCAGGGGTTAAGAACTGGGTGATCTTTAAGTTCCCTCCCAACCCAAGTCATCATTATCTTAAACATCTCTTCAGTACCACCTCTCATGCAGTTAGGAGACAAAACTAATTTTTCTGAATCCTACTTAGCCCGTTAAGCAGCAGGTTAGTGCAGAAGAGTGGTTATGTTGTTTCCTTAACCTGAGCAAAACCACTAGTTTAACTTAATTAAATCACGAGGGATACTGATTGAGCTGGGAATGTCCCACCACTGGAGGTGTTCAGCACAGGCTGGATGGGGCCCGGTCTAATGGAAAGCGTCCCAGCCCATGGCAGGGAATTGGAGCAAAATGACCTTTAAGGTTCCTTCCAACCCAAGCCTGTCCAGAATTCTAAGAAATACTGTTGAGGAAAGGGTACAAAACCCCATTAACTTCAGGATATTGCCCATTAGGTAAATTAAAGCCTGCGAGACTTGAGGATTAACAGGAAATTACAGAGAGACGAAGTACAGTTACAGTTTCACATACACAAACCCGCCCATCACCACAGCTCCGCCTCAGCTCCAGGCCAAAACGAAAGCCTTGGTGGTGACGTCCCACTGGGGGCGCGACATCCCGCGGGGTGACCCCCCTGAGGCCCCTTGTCCCGGCTCATCCCTCCCGCCGCTGCCCCGCGCTCTGAGGGCGATGAGCTCCCACAGCTCCGGACTCCCTCAGCTCCGGACTCACACAGCCGCCCCAGCGCCGCCATCTTGCCCGCTCCGCTGCCCCGCCTCTCCCCGCTGCGCGCCGATTGGTCCGAGCGCGCGCGGCCGCCAGCGCTCGGGCCAATCACCGCCCGCTGCGCGCGCCTCCGGCCCAACCAGCGGCCGGCGCGGGCTTTGCCCTCAGGCGGGCGCGGGGCCCCGAGGGGACGGGGGAGATGGCGGAGAGCGAGTCCGGCCCTGAGAGCAGCGACGAGGAGAGCCTGCCCTCCTTCGCCTACCTGCTCCAGCCCTCCCCATGCCTCGGCGAGCACAGCCGCCCGCGATCGCCATCTCCTGATCCTGAAGCGGCAGAGGTTGTCAAGATAGTGAGCAGCGAGGGCGAAGAGGTGGATGAGGAGGCGATGGAAGTCGTCCCTTCGCATGAGAGTGTCGAGATGACGGTGGAGGCAGAGCCTGACCCTTTCATCCTAGGCGCTGGTGATAAAGGAGAGGCATCTGGGGTTTTTTGTGCTAGTGGTGACCTGATGGCTCCTGGGAGAGAAGGGCTTTGGGAAGACGTGCCGCCGTCTGCAGAAACAGCTTGTGATAGTGAGAATGGTACACGCGGTGTTGAGGGATCCTCCCTGTGCTCCTTGCCAGTCGACCCTGACAGGCCCAGTAGCCCCCCGGTCAGCAGAGAAAGGCCAGAAACATCGCTGCCTCTCAAGAAGCGACAATATAGTCAGAAGGAACGGGAGGCAATCTGCCAGAATACGTGCCAGAGAAGGAAGGAGCAAGAAGCAAAGAGAAGGGAGCAGGAAGAGGAAAAAGAGAGGAAGAGAACCATTGCCAAGATGCTGAAAGCTCAGCGGCCAGGAGAGTGCCAGAAATACATAACAGTGGTGCTAGATCCAGGTAGTTGTCCTCACAGCCTGCAGCTGCCTTGTACTGACTGTTGTCTCCTCTCTCTGGGGGCCTGACCCGTGCATCGATTTCAGTCATCTTACAGGTAGAAGGTGGCGAGCAGATCCATAGTGCTTTGCAGGCTGCCGGTTATTCCTGTGTGTTTGAGAACCACGCTGTTCCCTGCAGCATCACCTGGAGGAGAAAGACAGTGACATCACAGGTATGTGAGCAAAATTTTGATAATCTTGTCCTTTCCCTCATGTGTTATTTGCAGTCGTTAGTAATTTTATTTAGCAACCCAAGTGAACACCCTCTAATCTCCCTGCTCAGAGGTTTGAGTGGGAGTCTGAGTGAATTCTAAACAGACTGTGGCCTGTTTGTTTTCATATCTGAACAGATGGGAGGAGGAGATGAATGGACAGAAGAACCAAATGTTCTGGTTCTGCTTGGCTTGGAGGAGTTTTTGTCCATGGTTCACAGCTACAAGCAAGTGAGAATGCTTATGACTTTTGTACTCCTGAACATGCCGTGATAAAACAGGTGTTTTGTCATCCCTCTTAGTGGCAGGAAGGTTTTGGTGTGGGAGGAATGCAGGGTTTCGTTGAAACAGAAATCTGGGTGTAGAAGCCATTAATGGGCTGTATAATGTAAAGTTCTGACAAGCTTTCTTTGCTAGTTAAAATTTTTCACACATTCCTCTGAAGAGTTACATCGAGTGGGTTTAATTTTTTCTCCTTCTTTCTGCTCTAACTTTACGTGGGATCAAGTATTGCCTGCTTGCCCTGAAGAGCAAGGGTGAACTTGAAGACTCATCTGCAGACCTGCAACCAGGGCCATAATTTGCTGTGCTTCTCTGTATACCTAAAAATGGTTTAACTCCTTATTTTTCCAACTCATCTTTGTAGAATGCTGATGGCTGTGCAGAAAGGCAGAAGGAGACCCTGCAGAGCTATGTAGCTCATATGATGGAGAAAATGCCTGGGAGAACTCTGGCTCTGGCAGTAGTTGGAGTAGAAAATCATTTCAGGTCAGACTTCTTCCTTCCAAATGTTTCTGTGTTTTCTCTGGCCTTGAAAAATGCCATAGGTGTTTATGTTAATTCCTTCTAGCAAAGACTGGAGTCCAAGAGGTATTCCCAGAACTGTTCCACCACTTTTTGTACAGAAGCAGAAGCAAAGGTCCATCCAGGCTGTCACCCCAGTCTTACTTTACTCTTTCTAGGTCTCTCCAAGTTCAGCCAAAACAAAGGCTGCGACAGGCAGCAGCAAGGGGGAATCAAGAGAAACGGGGAGAAAGGAGAAAAAAAGTGGTTAAGGATTCTGGCCTGGACTTATCCAGAATGGATGTGAAAGAAGTGAGTGCTTTTAAAACACATGCAGCCATCATCTCTTGTCTCCCAGTATTTGAACAATTGACCCAGTCACACAGTTTTGTGGGTGGGAGTCCGTGGCTTTCATTATTCATTAGGCCATCAGTCTGTGGGCAGAGCTCTGGGTTCAGCTCCCCACTGCTCAGTCACGTAGCTGTTCCCACACAGACTCATGTGTCTCATTCACCTGGATACTGATGTCAGTCTCAGCACCTCTTGCCCTTCATGGCCCTTTGGCAAAGCCTACTGGTGGTGGGCTGTTCATAACAAGAGCCACAGAGGACCTGAAGCAGCTCAGAGGACACTGAGGTGATACTAACTGTCAGAGACAGCCTGCCTCTAAATACATCAGTGTCTTAAGTTAACTGTTCCCAAAATGGAGAGAGAGTGAAGGTTCTTGTTTTACAGCAGGATGTTTGTGACCCTTTTATGCTTCAGTCAAAAATGGAATTTGATGCAACAAGACTGATTGTGCCATTTGTTGTTCCCAATGGTGATACAGGCCCTAGTGGATCTGCAGCTGAGCACACAAGTCCAAGTCAGCATTTTTGAGAGCAGTGAGGAGCTTGGGGAGTATGTCACTATGTTCACAAAAGCTGTGGCTGAGGCACCATACAAGTGAGTAAGCAGAGGAGGTTTGGCCCTACCTTTGGAGAGGCTACACTTTCAGCTACTGGGAAGGAATAGCGGGTACAACACTGGGTATAATGGTTCTTAAAGGTGCAGGTGACAGCACATCTGCTATTGCAGCTCCTTCAACACAGGACTTGTTCTTGAAATTGATGTCCTGCCCAAGAGGGGTCAGGATAGACCCTGGTTTCATAGTCACAGGCTGCTTTGGGTTGGAAGGGACCTTAAAGACCATCTAATCCAACCCCCTGCCATGGGCAGGGACACCTTCCACTACACTGGGTTGCTTAGTGCTCCATCCAGTCTGGCACTGAACACTCCAGGGACGGAGTATTCACAACTTCTTTGGGTATCTGCATCTTCTTTGGGCAATTTGTTCTGGTGCCTCACCACCTATAGGTTTCACAGTGGAGCCTTGACATCAAATAGAGCTCTTGTTCTGGGTCAGATTTTTGGAGTGGGAAGGGAATGCAAGTAGGGTTGGCTCTTAGAGTGCCAGTTTTTCTTCTTCAATGTGTAACCAAGAGACATACCTGAGAATGAACCACTTGACTCTTTCCATGGATAAGGGAGGCCAGCAGCTTGTTGCATAGTGACAGCTAAGAAAGCCATCTTGTGCAGTCTCATGCAATGCTGGCATTCCTGTCACAGCAGCTGCTGGGTTTTCGTGTCAGCCATGACAAGAGATGAGCTGTCATTAAAAATGACATCTAAAAGTGCTTTATTATGGTTGACAGCCAGAAGGTGAATTCTTGTTTACCACTTTGTGTGCAATTTGGCTTGTGTCAGGATTGCTGCTGAGTACAGGATTGTTTCTTTTTCAATAGCAATCTGGGTCTTAAAGAAGTTGGTACTCTTTATAAAGAAAACAGAGTCAAATTATTCATGTTTCCTTTGATACCAGTTGTGTCTCTGACAGCTCAGGTGAGGGATAGCACTCTGGCTCTGTGACTACAGATGGCAGGGACAGGATTTTCTTCACAGCCTCATTGTCTCATTTGCTTCCTCATCCCTTGTTCTCCCTAGGCGAGAGCGAGAGAACACAGGGTTCTCTTTCTACTTGGAGAAGGACTGTTGCAGAGGGGTGAAGGTGGATTCTTCCGGAAAGGGTCTCTTGAAAGTTTGGAAGAGGCAGATACAGCAATTTAACCGTGTCAGCTCTGAGATGGCTGAGGCTATCGTGTCTGCCTACCCTTCTCCTCAGCTTCTGATCCAGGTGAGGATGCCTCAGGGGTAGCCAGCACCATGTGCAGGCAGCCAGCTCATGCAGGGAGTGGAAGAAGTCATTTAATCAGTATTAAATGAGACACAGTGATTCTGCATGAGCGGTTCAGTAAGTTAGCGAAGGAACTGATTCCTTGGCATCCACTGTTACGGCTTCCCAATGAAGAAGCAGCACTGGCTCTGCTCTCCAAGCTCACAGATGGGATTTGGGCAGAGACCAGGTGAAAAATGAGTGGAAAATGTGGAAGAGCAGAGCAGGTGCGGGTACATAGCTTTGATTGGTTTTTTGAGCAGTGGATGCAAGCGGGTGACCCCATTGTTGCCTTTGTGTTACTTTTAGGCCTATGAGAGATGCTCCTCGGACCAGGAGCGGGAGAACCTGCTGGCCAATATCCCTGTGCACCGTGGGGAGGGGGTGACAGCCACCTCCCGGCGCATCGGGCCGGAACTATCCCGACGCATCTATCTGCAGATGACTTCCCATGATCCTGACCTCTGTCTGGATTTTACTGGCTAGCACGGGGAAAAAGAGTTGTACTGTTTATTCAGTTAAGTGTTCAGTTTTGGATTTCACGGGTACCTCCAGGGAATAAGGGTTTTTACCATTTGTCTGGTCAAGTTTTCAGTTTTCTTCTGTGAAGAAGTGCTTAGATAACACTAATTGATCCTTGTTTAAAGACTTGAAACATTTAGACTTTACTGTGGCAGGAAAAAAGTTGGATAAAGTTGTTGAATAGCAGGAGTTTACACAAAAAAGATGGTGAATATCTTCCCTAAGCACACAAGTTGCATACCGTTTGTAGTACTGATGTTTTGTCTTTCTATAAAATAAATAATTTTGAAGAAAAACCTTTGCTTCTTAACATGGTGTCTTGAATATAGACTAGTATGTCTTCTGTTGAAAGGAATACTTCCTGTTGCTCTCCTGAACTGCAAGGACTTACCTTCTCTCACCTTTGGGACAAATCCTGAAGCAGAGCAACATGGTGCTGCCCCCCAACACCTGCTCTAGCGAGGGGAAAGAACTTTACATCACAAAACATTGTTCCGCTGTAGCAGATGGGAATGAGTAAGACTAATTTTCAGATACAATTTAGAGTGCTCTGATTCAGTCTCCAGACGGCTTAATCTAGAGAGGGTCTTGAAATCTGATTATATGAGCTGGAATTATGAGGTCTGAACAGTTGGCAGGAAAAGCTTCCTTTTAATTAGATTGGGGACCACGGCCTGTCCATGCAGCCATCAGCACTTGTGTGCACACAAGGACAGTTGAGGGTTTTTGTAACAGCATTGCTGAGATGAGTGCTCAGAGAATTAAACTGCATCCCACGTGTGGAAATTAACTCTTTGGAACCCTGCTGCCTCCAGTGGAAAAATCCCTACCTACCCTACTCATTCCAGACATCCAGCTGGAGCCCTGGCCTGACCAGAAGTGCTGCTGACCTGAATGTATGAACTGTGTAAACCTGTGCTCACCAACCCATGCAGCACTCATCTGGATGTTGGTAGGAAGGGCTGCATGGAGGAAACATTGCTTTAGATGCTGTTTGTAATTTTTCTGAACATTTCTGGATAGAGAGTAAGGATATTTTGAAGAATGGGATGAGTTAGACACCCAAACCAAAGCTTAAAGGTGTTTGAAGAATGCTTTGAAAACATGCACCATCCTAAGGCAGAGGCAGCCTTTCCTTCCTTTAGTCTGATCTTTGTGCTGCTGCTCTCTCCTGTGTGACATTCAGGGAACCACAATCTTACCACTGGGTTACAAAAAAATAAAGGTTTACTGCTGTGATGGCTTCCCCATAGCACTGCTCCTGGCAGCAATAATCCCAGGTATGAGAAGAGGGAATGATTCTGGAGACCAGTGTAGAACGTCTCAGTGGAGTCTGTAGCACAGATATTCTCTGAAACTTGCACTTCATTTTAAGTACTCACAAAGCTCTTAAGGATATGAAAAACTTATACTTGATGGAAGGTAAGGAAATTTTAAAATTAATTATTTCTAGTAATTTTAAAGGAAATTCTAAATAATTGACAGACCATTGCAGAGGTGAGTTTTCCTCTCGAGGTGCAGCCCACCAAACCTCCCAGCCTTCCCCCAGCCCCGAGGCGTCCCCTTTCCTGCCAGCAGTGCTCCCACAGTGCCACCCAGTGCTGCTTCTGCAGCTGCAGCAGGCAGGAATTATTCCCATGTACTTGGAAATCATTTGTGGCTGTTCCTAAAAAGGCCTAATTAAAACTATGTTAACAACATAAACATCCAGTTCAGACAAATTGCTGTGAAAACTGTTGTATTGAAAATTTTCAGCTTCTTTTAATAGCACATCAGCCTCTTTGCTCCAACATAGGGATGCACAGCCATCCTACATGTCTGTAATTGGTCTTGGAGTGGGGCCTTAGTGTGTTATTCCCATACAGCAATACCACCATTTTTAGCACGAACAGAAATGAGAGCAAGGAATGGATATGTATTAAAAACCTTCCACCTCTAGCTCACAGCTACAGCTGTCTCATGCAGAGGATGTGAGGGCTGCTTGTTCCCATTCCCATAGGCTGTCAGCTTCCTGTACCTCACAATCCTGGTGGACACAACTTTGAGGCAAGGAGTGGTAACAAGTTTAAGTTAACGTGCACAAATAATGGGAGTTACAGGCCAACTGAGAGACATGCACAACAAAGATAGTTTGAACAATAGCTCTGCTCTGTGGAGTGGAGCAGCAAACCAACGCTGACTGGTTCAAAGCAGTTTCATCAGAACACAATTCCATAGGAATTCTGGCTGCGTAGATGGTGGAAGGAGATGCTGACGAAGCAAGTGCCCATCCAGGACAATCACTGGTGCGAGTTGTGCTGTAGCATGTTCTGCAGGGTTTTGTGGTTCTGCAGAGCAGCCACCACGTCCTCGTAGAGGGTGTTCACACTGACGCACAGAGGTTGGTGCTGCAGCTCCGTCAGCTTGCAGGCAGCCACAGCACAGAGGACGCAGAACAGCACAAAGAGCAGGACTCTCAGCACTGACCGCGACCACGAGCCCTTGTGCCGGGCGGGCTGAGGGGGACGCGAGCTGGAGGCCGGCTCTGCAGTGACAACACCAACAGGGCAGAATGGGAGGAATTAATCAACTAACAGGCTATCCTCACAAACAAACTCTTCAAGTAAGATACTTAATCCTCCACTGCACTTGGCTTTTCTTGTGAATTTTCATCACTTAGCTCTGATAAATAAGTAGATGTGTAGGATGTAACTGCTTAGGATGAAAAATTTCAGATCCAGTTTCATGGGCAGCAGTGAAGAGGGTGTAAAGCACCTCTGTGTTGCACAAGATCTGATTATGAAAATATAGCTCAGCAGACTTAAGAGATAATGAGTGGAGGGAAGTTCTCATTAGGAACTGCTGGAGAACTTCCTGACTCGTAGCTCCACAGTTCATGGGAACACGGGAAAAGGGGAAAAGGGCACAGCAGCAGAGTTTATCAGAACTCCTATAAGTTCCACCCTACTGTCCCACCATTTCCCAGTCTCCCAGTACCTGGGCTGCATGAAAGCAATTCAGGCAGCATCACAATCTGACGACAATGAAACCTGACACAATCCCACCCAAAATGGACACTACTTACTTCGGGTGTGCACTGTTTCCTTTTTTGTTTTCTTTTCCATCTCCTGTTTTGCAGCTTTCTGAGCATCGTACTCCCGCCTTCTGCGCTCCTTTTCCTCTGCCTTCTCTCGCTTCCGCAGTTCTCTCTCCAGAGCCTCCTTTGCTCGCTGTTCTGCTTCACGTTTCTTCTCCATTTCTGGGGGTTAACAGCAAGTTTTCCTTTTTTATGTAAAAGGGTTGTCACTGCCATTTTCCTTATTACCTTATTATCCCAACTGGAATCAGGAAACCAATTAAACAACTATCCTCTTTTTTAATAATTTTATTTAGTATTACGTACCTTGCATTTTGCTTTTCTTTCATGTTTTATAGGTAACCTATAGCACATTCCATCTAGAGATTTAACTATTCCTCAGGCCAAGGAATCACATACACTACCCCCCTGCTATATTTCTCCCTCCAGCCACTTTACCCTACTATTCCCTGAGTACTTTGGGTGGCTACAAGTATGTGTCAGATGGCAATTGATTAGATGGTGATCAGAATGTTTGGATGTGTTATACAGACCAAGAGCAGTCCTCAACAGACAGCACGTGGGGGCTCTTTGTCCCTACCTCTCTCTGCCTGGAGTTTCCGCTGCCGTTGTCGATCTTGCTCAGACTGGATTGCTTTCATGTGCTGCAGTACCTTAAATAGCCAAGAAAACAACCTGAGGGCTGTGCAGAAGCCCAGTGGCACAGTCAGTTCAGAACAGAACAGATGGAGTATGGCTTAGAACAAGCATCTGGGGCTGACCCCCAACCCTCACCTATCCCTACAGCTACAGCACTGAAAAGGACTCACAACTTGTGTGAGTCTCTGTTGTAAAAAAACAAATCCTCCCATTAAAACAGACATGGCAAACTGGTGCTCAGTGATACATAGGATCACAGAACATTTCTATTTATGTTTGCCAGAACTTCTCCAGAGCTTTTTGTGCTATCAGCACAGGCATGAATTACTATGTCTGATTGTGCCTCTATTTTCTTGGGAACCAGTATTTTATCCTCTCTTAACTCCACTAATGGAGAAGCATCCTCCTCAGCCAGGTGTTTGCTCTCCACAGGCACAGCAATAGGGGAGTCAGTGCAGTGGACCTGCACCTCACTCCCTGAAGAAACTTCAGGCTGCTGCAGCAGATGCCCAGCTTGCTAAGCAGAGAAAGAATCACTGGCAAAGCCATGAAAGGAAAAAAAAAAAATTACAATAAAACCAGACTCCTTACCTTGACAGCAGCCTGCTTACACTGCTTCTCATCCAGACAGTCTCCTGCCACTTTAGCCAGGACAGGATCCAGGGGATTGTCCTTCAGATCCAGCCACTTCAGGTTCTGCAAAAAGGCACAACAAAGGGGAGGCTGTAAGAGCACAGCAGTCTTGGAATTATTTAAGAGATCCAAAGCAGAAGCAGTAAATTGCTTAGTTTTCACATTAATGAAACAGGTACAGAAAATGAGCAGACTTGTTTTCAGTAGACTGAGAGGATTTTCACTGAGCTGTGGTGCAGACCCAGCTGAATTTTGGAATGAGTAGTCAGCAGGATGGATGCTTTACCAGAGAAATCAACTTGAGCAGGATCACAAGACCCTGGGCTGCATCCCAAAGCTTTACATAACTGCCCAGCAAACAGTTTTACCTTGAGCTGTGCAAAGCTGACTGGCAGGGTGACCAAGCGGTTGTTCAGAAGGTCCAGGTGCTGCAGATTGACCAGGCGGCCAAAGTCCAAGGGCAGCTGTTGCAGCCGATTTTTACTCAAATCCAGTTTCACCAGATGCATCAAACTGCAGAAGTCTGACTAAAACCCAAACAAAGAAAACCCAGAGAAAGCTGGTTAGCGCCTTTATGGAAGAACCTAAGTGGGAAGTATGTGGAGACAGCCTGCACCTCACATCAGGCACAGATCCTTGATTTACCACAGGAGTGCGATGGAGGAAGATTGCTCTCCTCCTTTGCCTTGGAAGATGGAGGTGAGACACAGCAGGACAGATAGACAGACTGAGAAGATTATGGATGACAATATGAAAGGAACAAACCCAAGTCTCCACTGCTGATGAAAGTCCTCTGTATTAACCTGAGGATGCTCTGGAAGGAGTGTACTGCAATCTTCACACAGTTCAACCCTGTACTCTCTCCTGCCTCAGCCAAATCCACTGCCAGCACTGACCTGTCACTGGCGACTGAGTCATTCAGCCACCCCAGGGCAGCGACAGTGCCAGTTCCACGGTGCCTGGTGAGCATCTACTGAAGCACCAGCTATCTTTCCAAATACTTCCCAGCAGACTCATCCCCACGGAGGCTCTCTAGCACCTTACCGGCAAGGAAATGAGGTTGTTACAGGACAAATCCAAGATAGTAGCTTTCGGAAGAGCGGCCTGAAAGACAAATAAAGCACTGAATGAACATGGAGGTTCACCGGCCCCTCTGACACCTGTTCTGCTTCGGCCTCTGCGGTTTCTCCCGCATCAGTCTGTCCATCCCCCGAGGTCACGTCATCTCCGGATCCATCTCTGTATCCAGAAAGGTTCTTATCCCGGGACAGCAGGGACATGCGGCTGTCGGGCCCGCGGGACACGGAACCTCACTGCCTTCAATCCCTGCAGGCCGGCTCACAAGCCCCCAGCGCATCCCCTGCGCTCTCCTCTCTCCATCCCGGGGTGCTACGGCCGGACACTCACCAGCTCCCGCACCGGCACCTCGTTCAGGTCGCAGAGGCTCAGGTCCAGCTCGTTCCCATCCAGCTTATCCTTCAGGCTGAGCCCCTTCCCGCTGCCCCGCGACATGGCTCCGGCGGCGGCTGCCACGGGGGATGCGGCGCGGTTCGGTTCGGAGCGGCTCGGCACAGCCCGGCACAGCCCGGTTCGGTTCGGAGCGGCTCGGCACAGCCCGGCACAGCCCGGCACAGCCCGGTTCTGTTCAGAGCAGCTCAGCACAGCTCAGCACAGCCCGGCACAGCCCAGCCCAGCCCGTCCCGGCGTGGCACGGCCCGGCCCGGCCCCGCCAGCCACTTCCGCGGCCACGTCCGCACGGGCCCCGCCGCCGCCCCGAGCGCGCCCGCTGCCGGCCCGGAGCGGGGCCGCGCCGCCTCCGCCACCGCAGAGCGCCGAGAATTACCCTCAGAAACAATGTTATCTGATCTTTGATCTCTTCCAAAAAGGAGATTTAATCCCCCAAGCAGACAACAGCTAATAAGCTCTGAGCGCTTAGAAAGACGAATTACTTGTTGGTAGAATTGTCTTGTTAGGGTTTAATGCTTGATGCGATGATCTCAGACGTTATGGGATGTTAACAAAGCTTGAGAAGAAGGATGTACTACTGATAGCGGGGACAAGGAATGCAGGATTTATGGGCTACAAGGACATTAGGCAGAATTGCCAAGATAAGGAAGAAACTAATAAAGCTGACTCAGCAATTGGGTTGAATCAGCTCCAAGCAGGTAAAAGGTAGTTCTGTCAGGGGCAGATTATGACCACCTACTCATGGCCACAGACCCAAGAAACCCACCAACCCAAAAGAAGAGAGAGACCAAGACTGTGGTTATACAATACTGAGAGCTCTGATGCTCCATCAGCACAAAGACAGTTGCTCTGCTCTGGCCGAACGGTGGAAGGACAATTTCTGGCCACGGATGTCACACAGCTTTACATCCCCCGTGGGAATCCAGAAACTCGCCTGGCTGCTGAGTTCAGTGGGGCTGACTGGAGGAGGTATCCGTGCATGTAGGCTAGAAAGACTTTGAAGCTCCACAAAACAAAGACAAAGCATAGCACAAGGTGCATCTGTGCACTCTGCTAGGGGTTGCAAGAACATTAGCAAGGAGAATGGAGCAGGAAATGCTGAGGGAAGTGGGATGAACACAGTCGATCTAATTGTGATCTAATGATCCTTACTGGGGCTGAGCTGACCATGCCAGCCTGGGGTTGGAGACCATTCCCAGACGCTCGGAAGATCTCTGGCTGCCCTCTGCAGCCAAGGCAAGTTTTTCACATTTCAAGGGAAAAAAATTCTCCCTTTCCCTAACAAAGAAGACATTGTCACTGCTGCCACCAAACAAATTCCTTGTGAACTAGATGCACATTGGGGAAAATCCTTCATTTCTAAAAGCAAGTGTCAGACACTAGAGATCTGGTGGCAGTTGGTATTTCACACTGTTGCAAGCACAGTTTTGGCTTTGGTGTCTGAGATTCACCATTCTGAGGTTGATATTTACGCTCTTTGTTTGCCAGCACCATTGTGCTTGATGTGATACAGACACACCGTGTCACCTCTTGAGCATCAGTGCTGATGCAGAGCTCAGCAGCCCCACACTCCTTACCCCGTGCCTGCCCACACCTCTGTGCTGAGATGAGAGGGTCTCAGCTTGCCCAGCCCTGGAGCAGCTCTGCCATTCCTAGCTGCTCTCTTCTCCTCCACAGGCAGTGCCTACAGATGTTACAGAGGTGCTAACTGATAACTCATCGATGGGATAGGGCTGGAGGGCAGTTGGTGGCTCACAGGGCTCAGGGACCAAGTGATGCAAGTGGTGACAGGTGGAGGCAAATAATGGTGTTTGTCTTGCACCAAAGTCAGTCTCTAGTTATTTGAGTGGAGAGGCTTATTGGGGTGTAACAGTGGTTGAGCCAGGCTGATGGAACAGGCCTGTCCATTATCTGATAGGGGACCAGAAACGTACAGGGCAGAAATTGTGGTGAGCAGCTCGGGCTGGGGACCGGCAGAGGATGGATGGGGAGATGCCCGGCGGGACTCCGGGGGTTCCTCTGGCGGACCGGGCAGGGCTGGCGCTTGTCCCGGTGCCTCCTCCCGGCCGGCGAAGGGTCCCGGGCCCCGGGGAGCGGCGGCGGGGCGGGGCCGGGGCGGAGCGCAGCGCCGCGGGCACCGAGCGCGGAACGGAACGGGACGGGACGGAACGGGACGGGTCCCGCGGGGCGCTCGGCGCTGCCCAGCCGCAGGAATGGCCATGGCCCGGCTGGCAGCGCTGGCCCGGCACGGGCTGCAGCTCCTGCACCGGGCAGCCCCGGCGGGCAGGTAGGGCTGGGCTGGGAGCGGGAGGTGCAGGGGTACAGGGCTGTGGGGCTGCAGGGGTACAGGGCTGTGGGGCTGTAAGGGAATTAAAGGGTACAGGGGCTGGGGATGAGAAGGAATTGGGGTATAGCGCACAGAGGGCTCTGGGGTTGGGCAGCTGTAGGGCACAGAGGCTGCAGAGGATGGAGACCATGTGTGATGGGGGACAGGGACTATCAGAGTACCTGTGAGTACCCAGATATGGCTGCATACAGGGAGGGCATATTCACCTCAGTGTGTAACCCTTGGCTCCCCTAAAATCCCTCTAAAGTGGCAGAAGGCAGGCTGTATCTCCTGGATCTGCTTCACCCCAGCTTGGGAGTGGGCCGGGGCAGGGATGAGCCCTGAACAGCAGGAGAAGGGAAGTGAAGGCATGGCAAGGGCTGAACTTTGTGCAGCAGTTCCATCTAGATTGCAGCAATGTGAAGTTTATCAAATGGCTTCTTCATCCTCCTCCAGGGCTCTGACTTGCTGTCAGTGTCCCTGTCCCCCTGTGGTCCTGCACCCCCAGCTGGGTGACCAAGCAGTGTGGGACACCAAGAAGCTCTGGGGTTTGGGAAGTCAGGCCAGTTCTTTGCCTTGCTTTTCTTCAGTGCTGCCTCTTTGAGCAAGTTCATGTAAAAAACCAGCAATGGGAAGTATCTGGCTTTGGGAAAGGCTCTGAAGGATTAGCTGGTATTCAGAGTAATAATCACTGGGATGAATGACTTCCAGTGAGCAATTCCGAGAATCAGGTACGGCATTCCTTGTTTTTCACAGACAGGGTTTAGGTGGGTTTTTTCAGCTGGTTTGACATTAGGAGTGAGGTGTTGAAGCCACTTCATCATAGGTGTGTGAAGATTGCCTTCTCTGAATCAGTTCTTAGGAAGTAGGATCACAAGAGAAGCATGACAGCATTCACTGCAGCTCACTCCAGCCCAGAATTGAAACTGAGGGACAAGAACACAAAGCCCTTGGGGAGAGAGAGCATGTATTTAGAGAGTAAACTCTTTCTAGTAATGTTATTTAAAAAAGTTTATTAAATTCTGCTCCTAGGTTTGTTTATCCTTTTGGCAGGGAGAGTGCAGAGGGCAGAGAGATACAGTGGAAAACAAAACCAGAAAGTTGCTGCAGAAGGAGTCTGAAAACCCAGGGAACTTTAAATAATAATTTAAAAAGTAGTATCTGATTAACTCTTTAGTCAACAGATTAAAGTGGAATGAGGACAGAGCAGAGTTAATTTTTACCACCCTTTAATTGCAGTCATGTTACAGAAAAGATCCAAAAGCTCTGTTTTGGGGAGAGGCTCCTGGTAGATGTCCATGAGCAAAGGAACTGGCAGAATCTGTGAACCTCTCCAAGTATGAACTCTGTATTTGGGACAGTTCCCAAGCTCTGGGAGGGCAGGGCCTTTCCCACAGGTGCTGACGTGATGGCACCACAGGGCAGGTCAGAGTCCTTCACATTACAAAGGGGACAGCAGGTTACACTCCCTGGTTTTCTCTCTCATCCCTTTTGATAATTTCTATAGAGACTGGTAAAGAGTTAAAGGTGAAAACAGAGCTGGTTATCTTATGTCAACAACTCCAGACTGATTTGAGCTGTTCAGAGAAAAATACAAACAGCTCCTAGGATTAGCCCAGAGTGCTTGCTTCAGTCTTATCATTTCTGCTTCCTGCCATCAGGCAGAAGAGCTCTGGGATTGCTGGGAGTTGGCTGCTCTCCTGTTTTTTGCAGGGAAGAGGAGGAGGATGCACTTTCCCCAGATCTCTGATGTCTTTCTGTTGTGCTGTGTTGCTGAACTTGAGGGTTCTGGAGTTTTGTGGGAACAGCCCATAGAAGGGCTGGCTCATTTGCAGGCTGGCTTGCTGCAGAAATGTGCTGCTAACAAAAAGCATGTGCCCTCCAGAAGGTGTGGTTTCCAGTGCTGACACCCAAGAGCAAGCAGAGTTTTATCTGCTCTCTTTTGGCTGAGTCAGGGAAATGAGAGCTGGTGTAATACCAGACCGTGGGTCTCATTTGATCTCCAGCAGCACCAGATGCTTTGTAGGAAGAGGTGAAGGGTGAATTACTCGTTTTCTGTAACAAAGATGAACACAGAGATTATTTCCAAATCCTTTGGATCCTTTCTTTCAAGAGGTCTCTTGATAACATTCTCTCAGATCAGATACAAACTCTTGCTGCTGGCTGTAGGCAGGAGGGAGACCAGCCCTATGTGATTTCCATGCTGCTGCTGCTGATAATGAACATGTCTTGTGTCTGCCTCCTTTATTCCACTCCTGACCCCCAGTGCTTCCAGAAGACTGCTGTGTTTTATCCCACACTTTTCACTTCTGCCACTGTCAAAGTGACACAGAAATGCTGAAGCATGTGTCAATGTCAGACCAGAATTTGGGGAGCTCAGACTCGATGGCAGCTGAGATTTTTGCTTTAATGCATTTGAAGAAATTATGTGAATTAGTGCTTTGAGAGGAGTCAGTGACTCTGGGTTATAAGCATGAGGTATCTTAGCCTTCTTAGCCTCTAATTTCAGTGTTGCTGATGCTTTCATTTGAAAATGTGAATACTTGGGACCTCTGAGAGCAAGCTGTGTTCACAGTGTGAAATACTGCAGTATTTTCTCAGTATTTTTCAGAATGCAGCTTCGTAATATCTTTTACTGCTCTTCGATGCACTTTCATCCTCATGTTTGGGGGTAGGGAGGAAGCCAAACCATGAAACCTGGAGCCTTGTGCCTTCTTGCCTCTAGTTTAAAAGTCTGGTTCTGAAAAAGTCAGTGAAACCTTTTGGCTCTTCAGGTCTGGAAAATACTGAGACAGTAAGCCCAGAGAGCCTGATCTGTGTAATGCTTTGCCACGACATGACAGTGCAAGATATTCCCTTTTTCACTGGGAATGCAGGGCCGTGCAAGTTCCTCTTTGAAGGCTGACTGCAGAGAGAATGAGACTGTTTCAGCTGGACATTTTGGATTCTGATTGAATTTTCTCAATCTAAATTTTGTAGTATTTCTTCCTCTCTGCAGTCTCTTTTTGTGATCTTTTGTTGTTTATTTTTCCCAGTGCTGAGCCTGCTTGGCTCCTAGTGTCCCCTGAGATGATGCTGGAGGGAAGAGCTCTTGCACAACCAGGTCAACAGCTGCTCCCTGCCCTCTCCAGCCCTCCTTGGGCAGGGCATTTAGGGACAGGCTCTGCTGACACTGGAGATGGCTTGGCTTGAGGGAGATGAGAGTGTGGCTGGCCCCACTAAGCATTTTAACAAACATCCTGAGGGTTCCTCATCCACCCTCGTGAGCTATGACAGCGGACAGGGACTTCTTCAACCTCTGTTTCAACCAGGAAATGGCTGTACTGGCTTTTACTGCTCTCCCAGGAGCATCCACCCTGCCTTTGCTTTAGGAGAATTTTCACTACATTTTGGTTTATAGAACCTTTCTTTATAAAGGTCTTTCTTCAGAGCTTTCTTTCATCTCTTTGCTTACATACAGGCTTTGCCCAGGAGTTTTCAAGCAATAAAAGTAATGCAGTTTAGCACTTGTCCTAGTGCTCCACTCCTCAGGCAGTCTTGCAGCTTTGTTGAGAGTTGCCCAAGAGCTCCATAAGGAGGGATGTCTGCAGAGAGCCCGTGGGAGTTTGCACAATCCTCCCTCTGGGTGGGGGAAAAAGGGGCAGGTGTCACTTGTCTCTGGAGCTGTAATCTCGCTTTTGTTCTCTGAACATCTTTCACTCCACACAGGCGGCAGCTCCAGGCTCAGGCTTGTTTCTTGTGGGCGGGAAAACAAATATTTTGTCGCAGTAACACCAGCTCTTTGCAGAATATCGATCCCGTAGTAGATGGGCATCTAGGCTGAGCAATTTTTCCTCTTTAAGGCAGGGATTTTCCCATTATACACTGACTTATACACAGCCTCCACAAATATCCCTTAGCCTTGTCCCTCCTGGTTGACTCCTAGTGTTGGAATGGAGGAGCTGAAGTCATGGAGGAAGGCAGAGAGGAAATGAGGAGGGACGGAGAACATGGGGGGCTGCCTGGGGAGGAAGATGTGGCTGCTGGATTAGAGAGAAGCTTGTAGGAGATGGAGAGAGAAGCCAAGATAGGAACTGCAGTGCTCAGATGGTCAGGAGCTGTGGTCCAAGGGGAGATCGCTGCATTTCCACCAATGATCAGACCTCAGGGAAAGCCTTAATGGTTTTAAAATTATTTTTCCCTATTGTTCTGACCACATCTTCTCATTGATGCTTCTCTTGACTCATTGACCTCCCTCTTGGCCTCCAGCACAATGTCTCAGTGCTTCTACTCTGCCTGGTTTGTACTTCTCAAACCCGTCCTTGCTCTCCTCCTTCCCACCTGTGCCAAATTTGCAGTGGGGGCCATCTCCTCCCTTCTGTGGTATTGCCTCTGCACTTCTCTCCCCTCATCTTGCTGGAAGCTCCTTGTTTTATTGGTGCTGTTTCAGTCCTATAAACTCTTTGCATTCCAGCTGTCAGAGATAGAACATGTACAGCTGCTCCCTGTTGTAAACACAGACCATTCCTCTGCAGACATCTCAGTTACAGCTCAGCTTCTCTGAACTCTTCTAAACAGTTTTGATTCTGCAGGATTAGACTCTTCTTTGCTGATGGTTTTGGAGAATGACCTCTTTAATTTTCATTCTCTCTTTCTCATTTGTTTGCTCTTTTCAGCCAGTTGGGAGAATTTATCTACAAAATGTTTTGGTTGTGTTACTTCACAGCTATTCATACTTATTAATGTTGCAGAAAGACCAAACTCAGTTGCCATCTCCCAGTGAACTGCAGAGCCCATATTCTGTCCAGGCATGCTGATATATCCGTATAGTTTTCAGTGCAGGTGAATGATGGCAGGACCAGGCTGGTGCAGGCTCCTTCTCCACCAGGTCTCCCATGGGGGGATGGAGGCTCTGCCCATTCTGCCCGCTGGTACAGACACACTCTGCATGCCCTGGGGGTACCAAGGTTGTCCATGTGCCCCAGCCACTGCCTAAGCTTTCCAAGTCCTCTCCAAAGTCTTCCTGATCTTGACCCACTGAAGCAGCTGCCTGTGGTTCCCACTGGTGCAGGAATGTGCATCAGCTATTCCCAATGCCACTGGCAGGCTGATAATCCCTGCAGATGGGGAGAACTGTATTGACAGGTTATATTAAATAGCCTCTTCTTCTTTTTCCCAGTGCCCTGCACACAAAGATGCCCTCTGTGTCTCCCAAGGTGACCACCAGCTACATCCAGGGACCCACAGATGTTCCCCTTCTTGACAAAACCGTGGGGCAGTGCCTGGAGGAGACTGTGCAGCGCTTTCCTGACCGCGAGGCCTTGGTCTTCTGCCGGGATGGGGTTCGGAAGACATTTGCCCAGTTCAAAGAGGAGGTGAGTGCCTTGTTCATCCCTCAGGTGACTGGATGACAGCAGGTGTGATGGAGGAGTGGGAAACAGCTTCATTGCTCAGCTCAGGACTGAGATGAGTTGTGTGTGGGCCATCATGCTGGTGCAGAGGGAGCAGCACATTTCCAGCATGTGCTGCCTTCATCCTTCTCTCAGCCTTGGGATGAAGAGGGGGAAGTGGCATATGCAAAATGCTAACATCCCATAATGAACATTCGTGCTTTAAAATGATCACACTTATCTCATGGGTTATGGGATGAGTCCTGGTGTTTTTCTCTACTGGAGTAGACTCCAACTTCTGGATTAGTCACTCTGACTATCAGAGGTCCTGAGTGTGGGGAAGATTTTTATCCAAGTATGAAGACAGTGGAGCAAAGTAAAGGGCCAGGGCTCAATATGATAAGCATGGATGTGTGTGGGTCTGTGCATATATGAATATATGCGTCTCTGTTTTTGGAATTGGAGGGACTAACTACCTGGAAAGTTTGTAATAAATATATGATATAATCTCTGATAGGAAAGAATTATTTAGTGGGTTTTTAGGCTTACTATGGTTTTGGTCACATCCATTCACATCAACAAGATTAGCTCTGTTCACCCTGATTTTAAGAAGTAGACTGTAACTAAATCAAAGTGTTCCTCAGGTTCATATCTCCTACAAGGCAGATTTTATAAATTCATATGAGAACTTAACAAAACTACAAAGCCTTTCCTGAATGTCTCAGAGTGTTTATACATACATTTGTGTACATGTAACATGCTTACCACCCTGCAAAATAAAGTAGTGGTTAATATAGTGACTGTATTTGAGTTAATGAATCACAGAATCATTAATGTGGGTTCCATGGGCTGATGGACTGTTCTGGGGAGACACAGTCTGTTGCATTTCAGTTACTGCTGGAATCCTGGATGCTGAGAATTTTAAACTTTCTGTGCTGAAAGGCACAGACTTGCAGGAGAGCACTGCATTGCCTGGGGCTGTGGAGAGGGCTTCCATAGTTGATTAATAGTACATGGAAAACTTCGAGTTTGGTGTTTTAGAATATAGAAATAAATATGAAGCAAGATGGAAGTTTTAGGACAGAGGCAGGCTGTTCTTTTCATCTTCTTCTTCCTTCTTCTTAATGGGTTTGGGTAATGTTTTGTAATTGGACAGAAAAGTCCGCATTGCGGGCTTTGGGGGATCAGTTTTTGGGTTAAAAGGGAAAATAATCTATGTCTCATTTCTTAATTGGATAGTTTAGTCTTAAAAGACCTTGTAACGAGATAATTGTCCATTTTGTGCCTTGCTAATGAAAGACTCGCAGTTGTGAGGCTGTAGCACTGATAAGAAGCAATAAACACCTAAGTCTGAACATGAACTATCGTCTCAAATGGTTTCAATCCTGACCCCGACACAGGTAGAAAAAATAAGCAGAGAACCCACAAGTTACAAAGATGATGCTTTTTCACCAGAAAGCAGTGCCTGGAGACCAATATCCCCCACTGCATCCTGTGTGTGATCCTCAGGCTCCTGTGTTGTATTTTTTAGGTGGACCAAGCAGCAGCTGGACTTCTGGCCCTTGGCCTGAGGAAGGGAGACCGGCTGGGGATGTGGGGACCCAATAAATACGAGTGGGTTCTTATGCAGTTTGCAACTGCCCAGGCAGGAATCATCCTGGTAAGGAGTTTGCTGTGTCTGGGATTTAGCAATCTGTTGGGAAGGGAAATAGAGACAAAGAAGCAATAGGAAATACTGGAGAATAAAGTTTGTTTGTCTGTTTTTCCATGCTCTTAGCTGGCATGTCATCTATAGCTGAAACAAGTATTTAAGGAAGATCTGTGCAGCTCTCTGTATCCTTGTCCTCCACTCTGTAAGGAAGCAGGCTGCAGAGAGAGGAGCAGCAAAATGTGCTTGCAGCAGCTGTTCATAGGAGATGTGCTTTTTTCTACAGGACCATTCTTATGTGGGATGTTGCTGCCCTAACCAGTTACCAGCTGGTTAGATTTGAAATGTATTGCTTCATGGAACAAAGGCTCACTTAAAAATCTGGTCCAGGCTGCATATTCCTAAAAGCCCGTTTTCATTCGATAGCATGACCAAAATACATCTTATTTAGGCAGTGCTCTGTGCTAAGGTCTGTACCCTGCCTTCTGCTCCATTTCCTCCATCCTGATTCATTCCAGTGTCTGCAGGAATAGGGTGGAGGAGCATGGCTCAGTAGGAACCTGTGGGTGAACTTAACACCTCCTACCCAGCTCTCCACAGAGTGGCCACTGGAGTTATCACAGTTGTCCATCAAGAAACTTGACTTGCACAAGAATTTTGATCTAGTTTAGTGGATTGGATCAGCTAGGTCAACTGGATCAACTCCTGTGAGACAGGATGTCTGGTTTCTGTTCCTGAAGCTCTGTTTTGACTATGTGACCTCACATAAATCTCTTTTCCAATTGTTTTCTTTCTTACAAACACAGAATTCTGATATATTTTCTGTGAATATGTAATCCCTGTGGTGGTGAGCTGTTAGTTCTGTGCTGGTCTGAGTGTGGCTTAACCCTGGAGGAACTTTTCTGTTGAAATCTGTGCTAGGGGGGAGGGTGTTCAAGGCAAGAAGGTGATTAAATTCTTGTTTCTGGCTCTTCAGGTGTCTGTGAATCCAGCCTACCAGGCCTCTGAGCTGGAGTTTGTGCTCAGGAAGGTTCGTATGGCATGAGCTGTCTGTTGAAGGGGGCTGGGGGGGACATGATGCAGATGAGCTCTTTGAGGTTTGGGTGTAGGGGAAGAGCTGGCTGGAGAGCAGGGCTGGTGTTGGCTGTGTAGAGGAGATGAAGCTGCAATTTGGTGCCCACATTTCTTGATGTTCCCTGTCTGATGGAAACTGCTGTATCCTTCTCATCCCTCTCTCTCTGCCAACAGCCAGGTACTGCCAGTACTACCCCAACCCAGCCACTATCAGCAATCATTTACCAGGGAATGAGGGAAAAGATGTAGGACTTGCCCCTCCTGCTCAGGGCAAAAATCACCATCTGGGATCTCAACCTTGAAAGTAGAACCTCAGAAAGGACCTCATTTTAACCTCAGACAGGACCAGTCTACTTGGTAGCTTGATTTCTCCTTCCCATGTTTGTCTAAGGCTGGCTGGCCTTGGATTTAAGCTGGTTTAAGTCCTAGGTATTGCCACTGTTCAGCATCTCTCTGCTGTCTGATCCTGCACCTCATCTACCCTTGAGTTTGTGACATGCAGAGCACTGATCAATTTAAACTGTTCAGGCTCCCTCGCTCAAATAATGAGGAATTCAGGTTATTAAATATTTGATGGCTAAAAATTAAGATTAATTTTTTAAGCTATTTTTTTTCACTGTGGTTTGTTCAGCTATAAATGAAAGGCTGATATTAGAAGCGAGGGAGCCAATTCTGAATGTTTCTAGCAAGTTAGTTTTACCTAGAAAGTGGATAATTTTAAGCACATTTCTTTTGTATCAGTAACTCTGTAATGGGTTGTTGGGCTGCAATTTGAATTCTTGTTTCATCCTTCCTTTAATGCTCTCAGCAGTCCTGCTGGTCACTGCTGTTCTCTGCACTGGGGTTGAACCCAGGGCTGCAGTGGAGCACCATCTCTTCCAGAGTGGGTGTCCTTGAGCTTCTCTGTCCTACTGGAATGTGCAGCTCAGTTCTTCCCTTTTACCCCAGCAAGGCTTTGGTTTTCCTCTCCTCTGATTTTTTTCTCTGATGTAATCTGGAATCTTGATGGGGTAAGAGCAGAAATGTGCTTCAGCTCCATTGGGAATTTCTCCTGTCTTGCCCTTCCAGATTTGCCAGCATTCCAGATTATGCACCTTTAACACTGGGAGCTCTGTGGAATTCCTCACCACCCTAAGGATTTGTTTTGTGTTTGTTTATTTGCATAATAAAATGTATGCAGACTTTAGGGCTGTTCCTGTTGGATCCTGTCCATCTGTGCAGTCTGATTGGTGTACATGGAAATATATGTGAATAACTATTCCTTGGATTCATACTGTATTTCCAGGGCTTGTAAAAGCAAACTGATGATGAGTTTTCATATTTTACATTCTTTGAAGACAGATCTGCTGCCATTCATGTTGAGACCAAGTGGGAGAGGCCCAACCAGAGACTCTTTATCTTGTACAACATCAGCCCTTCAACCAGCCCTCCTCTCCCCACACAGCATCTATTTTTCAGAGCTGGTTCAACCAGAATTGTAGTTTAAAGGAATTAGTAGTAAAAAGCTGCAGAGGCCCAAAACAGCATCAGTCCCCTGGGTTCTGGGCAGCCTGTTCCAGAAAATAGAGCAAATGTTTATCTTCCTTTCTGACAAAGGCCAGAGGATACTTACAAATAATTTATTGGAGTGGCCTTTGTCTCCTTATTTCCCAGACGTTGGGAGAATAATGAGAATAGCTGAGTAAATATGTAAATAGTTTGTTGGACACAAATGCATTTTTTTGAAGTAAAAACAGTTTGCAAATCTGGATCAAATTCAGCAAAATCTTTGCTGCTGAAAAAGAAATAAAAATTCTTGGAGTAATTCAGGTGTTTTGTTTTGGGATTATGTAAATGTAAGGGTTGAATGAAAAATGCTTTCATTTTCAAAATAGCTAGTGCTTTAAAAAGAGGTGATAAAATCTTAGGAAAAGGAACACCTCAAAAATTCCACAAAAAAAACTTGGCTTGATCTTATAGGCAGATTTTAGAAATCCTTGTTTTTCCAAATTTCCTCAAAAATCTTCATTCCAGATCAACACAAATTAATTTGTTTTAACTTCATTTACTCATATTTTGGGACTGGGCTTTTTTTTAGAGCTGAGACTCATAATCTGAAAAATCAGCTGTTTGCCTTGTGCTCACAACAAAGGGTGTCAACCCTGGGCAAGGAGAGAACCTTAGGCTGCAGCTCTGCGTTCCTGGCCAGCAAAAATCATCCTGAATCCAGCACTGGAGAAGAGCAAAGCACTGCACAGCTGGATCCATGCTTGGGCTGCTGGGTGTGCAGTGCCAGCACAGCAATGCTTTTGGAGGGTTTTGGGAATAAACAGCTGTAAGGGTTCATTTGCTTCAGTCATTGAGGAACCTACCTGTTCCTGTCCTGGGGGTGGCTGCTCTTCATCGTGTCCTGACTGACAACCCAACGTGCTTCTTCATGAGTTTCTGTCTCCCTTCACAGGTTGGCTGTAAGGCCCTGGTGTTCCCCAATCAATTTAAAACACAGAAATACTATGATATTCTAAAGCAGTCATGTCCTGAACTAGAAAATTCCAGTCCTGGGGGAATAAAGAGCAAAAGGTAAGTTAGGAGCATCTGGTGTCTTTGCACTGACCTCACAGCCACGTCCTGCCTTGTGTCCCCTCAGCTGCACCACACAGGTTTTGCTGAAGAAGGACCCACAGGAGGTCTCATCTGAAGAGAACAAGTTAGGCTGGCCCAGAGGTTTGCCCTGACCAGTGTCTGGGCACTTTTCTCCTTGTTCTGTTATTTCTGATGGTGTTTTTCTCTCTGCCAGGCTACCTGACTTATCCATTGTCATCATGTGTGACTCTAAGCTGCCTGGCACCTTCCACATGGATGAAGTGATGCAGGCTGGGGACAGCAGCCACCTGAAGCAGCTCAGGGCCGTGCAGCAGACACTGTCCTGCCATGAGCCCATCAACATCCAGTTCACTTCAGTAGGTGCCCTGCCAGCTCCATGCCCTGGGGTTGGGTTCCTCACTGGGAACACGGGGAACGATGTGTGCAGTGCCACACATCACATTTTCTTCCTGTTTCCCTCTGAGGCCAACCTTCCAGCTTCTGCAGTAGGATGGGAAAAGTCTTCTAGCATTTTCCCTTCTTCAAGGGGCACTGAGACAGTGCCAGGTGAATTCTGTTCAGCTGAAATTGGGCTATTTTTTGGGATTTAGGTGCTGTTAAAGAAGTAAAAACAGTCTCCCAGGTCTGATAGAAGAAAAAAGTGCAAGATCACCCCAGAGTCTGCCAGGGGGGAATCTCCCCTGAGCTCATCCTCAGAAAATGTGGTGTTGTTGCATAATTCCCTGTGTCTTCCAGGGAACAACAGGAAGCCCTAAAGGAGCCACCCTGTCCCACAGGAACATTGTGAATAATGCCAATCTGGTTGGTCTGAGGCTGGGGATCACAGACCAGGTGGGTTTGGTGGGAACAGGGTTTGGGGAGGCCTCTGCTGCAGCGGAGAGACCACACGTGGAGAGTGCTGGTGTTTACTCAGTGGAAGGGCAGGATGTTCTGCTGCAAATGACATTGAGGGATATTAATGCATAACATTTTGCATTGCTATAGAATTAATTGATCTTTCATTTTAGTTTCATGTGAAACTTTTTTTTTTTAAGGCAAAAAAGCTATCTTTTTGTGGAGGGAAAACATGAAATTAATAACTTTTCATTTTGGTGAATACTCATTTCAAATAACTACAAGACTCTGGATGTTAGCTTTGCATTCTGCTGACTGAGGTTTTAATTTGATTTACATGACTTGGTTTCATGTCATGTTTACAGTCTTGTAATTCTTATCAGGGTATGACCTCTCTTTTTATGGTTCCTTAAAAAATTGTTAAAGATAAATATTTTCTTTTGAATTTCTGAAGTACTTATTTCTAACACGTCAGCTTTGATCCAGAGAATAGATGAGTTGTTTCAATCAGTCTTCAGAGCCTTTGGTGATTTGAAAAAAAAAGAAAGTAAAATGAATAGCATGTGCCAAGTCCTGCATATTTCATGCCTCTCACAGCACTCCCATTCGTCTCTTTTCGTATATAATGTATAAGCAATAGCAGACCAAGGAGTCCAGCAAAGAAGAGACATTGCAGAAGGACAGGATAAAATATTGACATAAAAAAACTTCCCAAACTGATTTTTGTTAAAGGTAGGATGTGTCAGTTGTGTTTTCACCTAACAGGAACGCAGCAGAATGTCAGATTTCCAGCTGAGGGGACCAGGAGAAGTGTTTCTGCTCAGATCTTTGCTCTTCAGCAGGGAGATGGGCTGGACACCACTGGAGGGTCTCCTCTGCTGACTGTTTTTGGTTGATCCCAGGAGAGTCGCTCTGGGCTCCCTGCGCCTCTCTACCACTGCCTGGCGTCGGTGGGAGGCTGCATGGTGATGGCTCTGCATGGCACCTCCTGCATCTTCTCATCTCCCAGCTTCGAGGGCAAGGCTGCACTGGAGGCTGTGTCTCGAGAGAAGTGAGAGCCTGTTTCTCTAAGGAGCAGTTCTTGGCCTGTGGCTCTACTTCTTTCCTTGCCTCAGCTGCCAGGACCTTGCTTGTGCTCTTCCTTCCCACAGCTGAGAGGCAGATTTGCTGCTGCACTCGACTGCACAGGAACCAAAGTCTGCCTTTCCAGCTGTGCTTGGGAGTGTGTTACCCTTCTGAAATGAGGGAATCCTTCCTGTCACCACAGGGCTTTGGCTGGGAAGCATAGTGGTGTCTTGGTTTGCTGTGGCTGCTGTGTTTTCACAACTGAACATTGCCTTCCTTTTCCAAGTTCAGCTCTGCTGCTGGGATAGTATTTCCATATTGTTCCTCAAGTATAGCTTGGGAAACAAAAGAGCTGTTGCTATGTCTGCATCATACATGTACAGATGTGTCTATATCTTATGCAGATGCATGTCTGTGTGTGCTGATGCTGCTGCTGCTCTGCAGCCCCAGATGGGATGGGATGGAATGGGATGGAATGGGATGGATGGCTCAGGATGGGATGGAATGGGATGGATGGCTCGGGATGGAATGGGATGGATGGCTCAGGATGGGATGGAATGGCATGGATGGCTCAGGATGGGATGGAATGGGATGGATGGCTCAGGATGGGATGGGCACTGAGCTGGGGCTGCCCCCAGTTTCCACCTCTGCAGCTTTGCCTTTTTGTCCCTTATTTCTCAAGATGCTCCTTCCTCCTCGGCACACCCACCATGTTCATAGACATGCTCTCCCAGCCGGACTTCGACTCCTATGACCTGTCAACTCTCCGGGGAGGTAAGTCCCAGAATTCAAATGGAAAAATCCTGAGAACCAGGGTAGTCCTGGTTCCCTGCTGGGAGGCTGTATTTTTAGTTTTGTGAGCACATGTCTCTTCTGGTGGGAAAAATCTAGTTGCATGAGCTTTGTGTTTCCCCTGTTAATTTGATGCTACATTTCTTTTCCTTGGGAAATCCTTCCATCATGGTGTATTTTAGGACTCCTTCATCTGAAGGCAGTCTAGGGAAGGACCTTTCTATTTTAGCTACAAGGGGTGGTGTCAAGACCAGCTTGATTTTCCTTGCCTCTCCAGCCACCACCATGTGGCAGCAGATGCTTTCTGTGTCTCAGACTAATGCAGTCCATAAAGCAGAGCCAAGCTCAGATTTTTTTCTCAGACCTGAAGTTTCCTGCCTGTTTCTGAAGTCACTCATGCCCGTGCTGGAGGGTGTGATACAATGTGCTGGAGCTTCCTCTCTTGTCACAGCCCACTTTGGAAATACCTGGGCAGACCACCAGTCCTGTTGAGGCAGTTATAGTACAGAGAGAATGTGGTGCTGGAGCATAAGGAAATATTTTAGCAAGTTACCTAATCATCTCTGCTGTGTGCAAAATGATCCTGTCTCGTCCTGTTCCCCACCAAAGCCCATGTGTTACCCCACTCTTTTGCTCTGTCATCCTAGGTTGGAACAGGTGGCAGTGGGATCTGCCCTTTCCCAAAAGGGCTGCTCTGTGCAAGGCAAGAGGAAAGGTTTTTGCTTTTATGGTGATGATTGATGAGAGTGTTTGTCCCACTATAAAACTGTGCCTCTTTCTGCTATGAATCTTTCAATTTTTGGAGAACTGTAGGTTGGATTAGGTTTGAATTATATTTTCCTGTTGAGAAAGGCAAATTGGCCTTGCTGCAGCCTTTGCTTCTAGAACAACTAAGACCTGTATAAAAAGATTTGGGAAGTATTTTGACAGGAACCAGTGTATCCCACTGGTTTTGTCAGCATTAAATCTGGGAGTGGAGCGCTGTTTGAGGGACCCTCCTGGGAGTAAATTGCTGGTTTCCAAGGTATTTTCCTCTTTCTTTCAGGAATTATTGCAGGCTCTCCTGTTCCCCCTGAGACCATGAGGACAATTATCACCAAGATGCACATGCCAGAGCTTGTGGTGAGTTGTGGTGCCTGTGACCAGACCTGCAAGGGGTGTTTGTCACAGGGAGACACTGAGTTTGGGTGTCTCTGGACCTCAGTGGTACCTGGTGGTCCTGGGGCTGCTGGGATCAGGCTGAAGAGGGAACTGGGGACAGAAGTGGGGGTTCTGCCTGGTTGCTGCTGAGGTGTCCAGGGAGGAAGCTTTGGCAGAAGACAAGGCATCACATTCAATGTCACATTCTGCTGCTCATTTCAAAACTTTTACTGACATTCAGTTGTACACGCTGCCAGGATTATGATGGCAGAGGCAGTGCTGGTTCATAGTAGTGCAGGTGGGTGCTTGTATTCCTCTTGGTGTGGAGCTGTCAAATTTCTTTCCCCATCCCGGATTTCCTGGGGATGAAAAACCTCATTGTGTGGTTTTTGTTGTGTCTGAGTCAGGTGGTGCCAGCCACATGTGCAGTGCCAGAAGGGCAGTTTGTGCTGGTCCATTGTCCTGGGCCTGTGCAAGGGCCACCAGCACGGGGGTCAGTGACCCTCTAGGTGATGCATTTCCTAGGCATGTCTGGCCATCTGCATGCAAATGGCTAAGCCAGAAAAGAACCATTTTGTTTTGCCATAAAGGAAATTAATTTGGTACCATGCTGCTTCCCAAGGCTGAGGAAGTCAGATTAGGCTGTTGTTTTTGGCAGACCCTGACTGCACCAGCAGTAGGGTTTTACAGGGACAGCTCTGTGCTCTGCCACAGACCAGGGGAATTCAGGGCATCTGTCCTGAAGCTGTCTTGGATGCAGCCAGGTTTTTTCCTGGATATGATGCTCTTCATGCTAAGCTGGAAACACCAGGGACAGCCTTGGTGCTGCTGCTTGTGCTACCTATTTTTACACTAAACTTGAGTTTGGCCTCACAAAATATTTTCAAGCATTCCTGTGAGAGCTCAGGACTCATTAGGTGTCACATGTTCCTGTTTTGTAGCAAGAGAAATAATAAAACCCTCCCAAACAGTTGCTCTGCCCGTGGGATAAAGAGGATTAAGTCTATATTTGTGCCACTGGTCTCATGTTACTCCTGATCCCTCCAGCTCTCAGGCAGACACACAGAGACTTGTTGATTTCATCTTTGCAGCAAGAGCTTTATACAGAAGATGTACATAAGAAAATATACAATTCGATTTCTATATAGGAGGCAGAGGAGTTTTCATCCTCTTAAAGGTCATTTACACTGTTACAGAGGAATAAATAGACATATATTTATATAACTCTTTAGGATTAAAAAATATAGTTGAATTGAAATATGTGGAAATATGTGGAATTGAAATAGCTGTGACAATAAACCATAGTCATCCTGGTGTCCTGCTAGATCCTCTGGAGTCTGGGTGGGAAGGAGAGGAGGAGGGGTGCCTGAGCCAACTGCACCATGCACACCTTCTCCTCTTGGACATTTTGGTGACCCCACAGAGTGGGAGGGAAATCCAGCCTTCAGATGGATCAGATTCCAGTTCCAGTTTTGGAGGTTCCCAGTACTGCTTCCCCTAAAGGATTTCTGGTCAATGTTGAGAGATTGCTGCCTCAGAGCCACTGGCTCGTGGTCACTGCTTCACCCCTTCCCTCAGCCCTGGCCTGCAGGGATCCCCTCTGTGGGTAGCCAGGGGAGTCTCTTTGCATGGGTTGAGACCAATTTTCCTTATCAAGCAGCTGGGGAGGGATGCTCCTGCTTCCCCATCTGCTCCCTCTCCTCTGGAATGGGAGAGACAGCGACCAGCTGGTTGATCAGGGCTGTGGGTTATGTTTCTTCTGGGAAAGATGACTCTGTTTTACCAGCAGGATCTAGCTTAGCTTGTCTGAGTATGGGCATGCATCGTTTAGTTTTTACAAAGGCCTCTTTTAAAATACATAGATGTCGGAAAAGACTGAGAAGGTGGATTCCATCCTTGTGATCAGCAGAAAAGCAGGGATTCAGAGGAGGCTGCAGGTGTTCTTATATGTCAGGAGTATTTCCTGACAGGTAGGAGAAGCTCAAGGAAGGACTCGGAAGTCAGTAGTTTTCTGATGGCTGAAGTGACCGGTCACCAGGACGGGCCATGCTGGAGCCTGCTGGCATTGAAAAAGAGAGAAGGCCACACCTTTAAGGAGATTTTTCCATCAGAGCAGTAAACATATAACATTTGTCTATTTTTAAATCAGTGGATGAAGCCCATACTTGAAAGTGAAGAGTGTGAGTCAAGGAGCTGTTACAACTTCCCACAGCAGAGGAAATGGGTTAGTCCTGTCTCTGAGCTACTCTGCCAGCTCTGTGTGACTCCCGAGGGTCTTACCCAAAGTGCTGATGCTCAGGGAGCACTTTCTTGGCAAAGGAAGGAAACTCAGAGTGAAATTTTCAAGTGGACTATTTTGATGACCTGATTCTGAAAATCCAGGGCAGGTGTAGTCTTAGAAACTACCAAGCAGCTTTCCATCTTAAATATAGCCCATGACCCAAGTCAGTCTTCATCCCTGAAATACAGACCTCTGTCTGTGACAGCTGCCTGGCTCTCAAGGGGTGCAGGATGAAATCAGAGGTACTTTCATAAAATTCAAGCTGGCCACACTGGAGTGGGTTTGTGTACCTGCATTTTGGCACTGACACCTGAAGGCACTGAGCTTAATCTTCTGCAAGACTGGAATAAATAATTTCCTATTTCATTAGCACTTGTAAACCTGTTTGAGGGAGCTGGATGGAAAGTGCTACGGAAAAAAAACAGGTCATGGTTTTCTTACTCTCACCATGGAGGAGTGAACTGGGATCGAGTTTAGGCAGGGAAAGACAATTAAGAAGGGTAAGACCTGTTAATAAACTATGTTTAAGTACTGTGGTTTAGAAAACTGAAGTTTTTCTGTGCTTAGAGCAGAACTTTTCCTGCCCTGTATGGAATGACTGGTATTTCCATCTCTAATCCATAAAACCTTCTGGCACTACAAGAGAAATAATCACTTTAGAAAGGCGCAGAGCAGCTGGCAGAATCCCTGACATTTTGGTCATAAATTTCCTATCTCCACCCTGATGTGCATATCCTTAGTGAAGTGGGGATCAAAAGGCCATCACACGGCACAATGCCCACCTCTTTTCATACAATGCAGTGCAGCATCACTGCACTTTGCTTAGCAAATGAGCAAAGGTCCCTTCCCCAAGAGCTTACAAACTTCCAGGCTCATTCAAAGTTCTCTGGAATCCCAGACCTATTTCTGGGATGGCAAAAAGTAAAATGCTTGGGGTGGAGTGATGACAGTTGTGGCTTTTTTGCTTCTCTGCAGGCTGAACTGAATACCCCTGGTAGTTTCCAGCTGTGGAAGGTGTCTGTGTGATCAGTTTTCATAGTTGGTGTTTGTTTTGGTAGCTGTTAGCAAAAGTTCATTGCTGGAGGGGAAGGCAGCCTGGTCTTTGAATCACCTCCTGGCTAAGGACACCTTACCCAAAGAATATTTGCTATCTTGAACCTCCCTCCTCTGGGATAATCATTTGAAGGCAAGAGCCGTTGTTTTTAAATGTTTAATTGTTTTTAATTGTTTTTAAAGACCTGACTGTCTTGGAGGGAATTGTAATTGTGGAAAGGCAGCTGGGTCAAGAGCTGCTCCTTTTGGAAGACATCTACTTTCCTATGGGCTGGGCAGTCTGGGGCAAGACTTCCCAGCAAAGCCCTGCCCTGGATTTCACACCAGACCTGGCAGACCTTTATAGGGCAAAGGGCTGAGCATCTCCAGTTGATTAGAAAATTAAAGGTTGTGTGGTCCCAGCTCAGGGTAGGAGTCAGCTAAATCCGCCCTTGTTTTGATATATAGTTTCTATCCCTTTTGCATAACAATTACATCTTGACTTGATGTGGGGCTTTGGTGTTAGGACAGGGTGTGTGTCACCATAGTGCCCGAAGCATGATTGAGGCTTAAACCCTGAAGATTTCCAAGTCATTCTGTGTGTGTTTTCAGGATCCTTACTTCTCTATTTCATATTCACTTGCATGTTTTGTCCTTAATTCCTGCCCCAGGCCTCTCTTTAGCCCTATATTTTTTCACAGACTTGACTCTATCCCTGATGCCACAGGCAGGTTCTCTGCTACGGGAGCTTGTGGAGCCAGGAGATGCAGGAGATGCTGCAGCTCTTAGCACAGACATCTGTGGCTGGATGGATAGCTGCTGCAGGCCAAACCCTGGTGGCATTTAAGACTGATGCCACAAAAGGTGCTGGGGCACCAACTAAAAGGGAACCATCTTACGTGTTTAATGGCGGCTCCCCTTCCTGGACCTCTTGGTGGGCAGCTTGCAGGAGCGGAGGGCCGGGGTGTCCCTGATGGGCTGTCCCCGGTGCTGGGCTGGTGTGGAGCAGCTGTCCTCAGCACGGGTGCGGTTCCCTTTCAGCCACCTGTGGCACAGGGAGGAAGGAAGGGAGGAACCTGAGAGAGGGGCAAGCCATGGGTATGAGGGGAGAGAGCTGCCGAGCGTGCCAGCGGTGTCCTGGCACAGGCTGGGGTGGCGGTGCCGTACTTGCGCAGAGGTGCCAGCTGGCAGCTGCAGTGCCAAGGGTTCCGGGAGATGGTCAGCGTCTCCATCTTGTCAAAAGGGAAGTTTCGGGGCAGTTGGGTGAGCCGGTTGTTCTCCACGTGGGCGGTTTTCAGCGCGGTCACGCCAGCGAATGCGTTGTCTGCAAACTGAAGCACAAAGGTTTCTGCTGAGGTGGGGAATGGGGACTCCTAACCTGAGGGGCTCTGTTCCAGACTTTGAGTGTCATAAGGACAAGGCACTGGGACATGTTGCCTAGAGAAGTGTCAGAATCGATGGTATTGATGATTCCGAGATTGTAGAAAGTCTCTGTCTGTCAGCCCCACTGCCAAAGCAGAAGCCATAATTGGTCTGTGCTGTTTCAAGGTTGTTTATTCTGTTTATCTCTAACATGTTCTGCTGCCCTGCCGCAGCTCTGTCCTGCAGGGCAGCGTGTGGGGCTCTGCCCTCAGTGGGATGGTACAAACATTAAATACCACAAACTACC